GGAAGTTTCTACGTACATCTTCCGGTTTGTCTCGTCCGATCCTGGTGAATCGTCCGAGCTTGTGTTGGGCCATGGATGCTCTCCTAGAGATCGAGGCAACATATGGAGCACTACTCATTGGTGATACATTTTTCATGAGCTATTAATGGGTGACCTCAATCTCGCATGCTCCAATTTTTGTGTTGATTTTGTACCTTCCGCAAATTATCTTCGCAACGCAACGAATGCTTCATTGCCATTCAAAGCTTCCAAGGGGTCTTGCCGGTTCAAGCATATGTATACTATGAGACTTTTCCCGAAGATTCCCTCAAGACCAAGGCGCAGTGGTGCGATACCCTTTACTATTTTTGACTGGGGAGCCGGCCACCTTGGCATTTGTGGCTAATTTCCGAGGACCACGGTGTCAATATACCTCCCAATCTGTGGTGAAATGAAGGCAGGTATCTTATGAATGGTTCAATACCATTGTCTCGAGTTTACACGAAGTGTTGATTTACCAGTGAATTTTTTGGCGCACGCATCACCAACAAGGCCAAATACTAGCCAACCGGCCACCCTGTTAATTAAGCTCTACAGGTACTAACTTGAGGCAGCTCTGCTCAGGAAAGATACAAGAAGGGTCTAGGAACTATTCTGTATCATTTGGGTCTACATATAAGCCCTGGAACAGGGAAAGATTTACCTGTGTATTGGCAGGAGAATGTGTGGAACCCCTGAACCCGGACAACCTAGCCAGCTCGGCCGGCCCTGCACTTGTAGCGGTCCAAGATCAGTCATGGATCATTAAATAAGAAGCATATCAACATATCGGGATGCCCAACTCCACACCAGGCGCCCGCTGGGTTCGGAAAAAAAATCAAATGTGTCAGGAACCGAATTTGTCCGGTGTTGTGTAAACGACAGCGGTGAGAATGGAACTGAGCCCGGGGAAGGTTATGAAATACGCCAAACTGGAGTATTAACAATCGAAAACATCCACTTCAAATTTCAGGCCCATAGGCTGGATGGGTGGCACGATGTGAGTATGGCCAGCATGAGCCATGCAAGGAGAGAGTGTCTCCGTACTCCGGGCCCCTGCCGGAGTGCGCGCCATAAGTAAGCCCCGTATGTATTGCAGATTGAAGCCCTGCATCGTGGAAGAAGAATAAGCCCAGAAGGCTGTTGAAAGACGAAGAACTGACCGAGCAAGAGCGAGCGCAGTCTTGCGCAAACAAGGAAACATTGATCAGCGCTGATGGGCCGACATCACACATGCCATAATTTGTGATCCGAACCATAACTTTGGTTGAAATCTGGTATGGAACAGCGGTGCAGGTCCTATTCCTTCCTCGAACCCTCAAATCGGACATATACGGAACTCCCCCCTCATTAAAGGCAAAATGGCCGGTTAGCTAGTGTGGCCGGTTGGCCAGTCGGTAATAGTATATCGCATTGAATATTCAAGTAATTTTTTCCAGGTGCCGATCGTCTGGTAGTATGCAATGCAACAGTGATACTTTGTCTAGACGCGCTGAGCTTTTGCAGGACAGTAAACCTTGCACAGCTCGTTCCCATTTGCCAATCCGTGTATTACTATCTCGTCTGCAGCTGGGCGGTTCTGTTACTAGTAGAGACGACTGTGGAGCTCGACCTTCACCTCGTCTTCCTGACCGATGCGAGCACGATCTGCCAAGGATTTTTTCTGCTTCGGTACGTTGTCGTCCTGCATCCCAGACTCATATTTTTGATCGTCTCTATACCAGAGTGTGGAGATTCAGGACGACCGGGGGTGCACTCTCCACGGAAAGATTCGGCTCTACCGCATCCTAGTCTCCGAATCTATGTATGTGATCTGGAAAATGCGATGTGATTCCGTCTTATCACGCGCCGGGGAATTGATCTCCGCACAAGAAACCCACAACAAATGGGTGGGTACGATAAATGAGTGTCTACTCACGGACCGAATCTTCACAAATAGCTCAAAGTACGGAAAAGGGACCTCTGTTCCTCTGATACTAGTATTATAAACATGGAATGGAATGCTAAAAGATGAGGATCATCTGCTGGAAAACTGGCTTAGGGAACCTGAGGTTTTAGTGGGTCTCGAGTGTCTGCGGTCACAACGACCACCCGCGCCACCGCCACGAAGGCGTGGAAGAAACGGGGTTCGATTCCCTGCCGGTGCATCAGTTCTTCGGTTGAAAGCGTCCGTTTTTGGTCTGGTTTTTCAGCTGTTTTTGGTGCAAGTTACGGCGTGTTGTGTGCTGCATGCTCGGACGCAAACCTGCTCCGTGAGCCTCCAACATCAGTATTAACTTATGTTCACGGAATACAGATGAGCAGGGGGCTAAAATATCTGTTCAAGCATGGAGAGAGGATGCCATTATCCAAAGAGCATCAGTGATGTATACTACACACGCTGAAAAATTTGATGCGAACCGTCTATATTTTCAGCGGCATGGGGTTCGATTCCCTGCTGATGCATTATTCTTTCGGGATTTTTCATTTTTGTTGCGATCTTGTCTGAAATATTCCCGTGGTCGAGTTTAAACAATCGACTGGATGGTAACAACATTAATATCATATCTTTTATCCGCAGGGATCTCAATTCAAAGCTCAGCGGCGAAGCGAGAACAAGTATTGATAAGGGCTCCCACATAAACGCACCGGTTGTGTATGGTACACCCGCCCGCTCAATGCGTCGTTTTGTTTAGTGCTAAGTGAGTTGGGGTTCGATTCTCCGTTGCTGCATAGTTTCTTTGCGTCAATTGTCTTTTTTATGTCTGGTGGTCTCTGATGTTTTCGTGTTCATATTCGAGGCTCAAGTCCAGCTGGGTGCATGGAAAACACAGCACTATGTAAATTCAAAATTTAAACGCCGAAAAATACGCATTCAGAGATACAGAGAGCGGATTGCAATGGTGAGCGAGCACTGATGTGTGGTACACGCAACTAATTGACTATCGGCAGTCCGCATTCTCGGCGACATGGGGTTCAATTCCTCGCTGGTGCATCTTAGTTCCCATTGCCTCTTTCTTTTTTGGAAATAAAGAAAAGGAACCGAAACCCAGGCGCACCCGCGGGCGGGTGCTGTTATCTTGCACGTCGAGAATACACCCGACGGGGTGTGTTAAAATGCGCGAGTCCCATTCATCCCAACTGGTGGGCCCGACTCTTGCTTGTATGCTCCTCCGAACCCTCTCATGGCTAGCCAAGAACTCTGGCCAATAAGCAAGGCCTGTAGCATAAGGTATGCACCTGCTGCCCGTTACAGATCAATGCATCAGCGCTTGTAGCAAGTGACCGGGTTCGACTCTGGGACAGGCCGTAGCGTTTCCTTCTGAATCGAAGTCGCTTTCTGTTGTGTGTTTTTCTTAACACTGGGAGCTTTTATGAGTGGGCAAGGTAAAAATGCAGTTCTCGAATGCCGTTATCCTGCTGATATGCTATGCATTGTGGGGGCGCTCGGCGTCCCGGCGGGTTTGACGGAGTCGGCGCTTTTAAGTCAGGCTGTCTCATGTCAGGCGTGGTTCTCCCTTGAGCGGCAGAAGCCAGGATTTACACAGGATTAAGGCGGTGGTTGACATTCATCCATCCCGAATCAATGATAGAATGATAGAATGGTGCACTTCTGATCGCCGTGCGATACAGACCCTAATCGAAGGCACCCCGGAACATGACGCCGATCAGGGTAATCAGTTGATCACTACCATCAATTTGATTCAGGGTTGCATTTATATACCCGACCTTCTTATCCCAGCACTCCCATGCCTCCCCGCGCTTCGCCGTATCCGCTCCCCTCTCGCCGCTCAGCCTCGCCCAGTGCCCACTCGACGCCCGCGCGCCGTTCGCCTCCGTCGCAGACTGAGCCAGCGGGCATACAGCCCCACCCCACGGCGTCCTACTACCCGTACGAGCCGCGCGCTTATACCCAACCTGGCTACATGTACGCGCCCCCGCAATATGGACAAGATGCCCGCTACACCGCCCCACCCATGCCACTCCCCGCACATGTCCAACACACCGCGTACGCGCCGTATTCCCCCGCGGGACCAGTAATCCAAATCGTTTACACGGACGACGCTGTGACGAAGCTCAGCGATAGCGTCCGGCGGCGATGCTTCAACTGTGGCACAACGGAGAAGAGTACTTGGCGCCGCTCGAGTTTGTCTCCCGGGAAAGTGGTGCGTTCCCCGTTCTTCATTATTGAAGGTAGTTGCTGAGGGTAGTGGAAGCTGTGCAATAAATGCGGCTTGTACGAGCGCACGCATTCGCGCCCGCGCCCGCAACAGTTTCCGCATAAGCGGGGTACACCGGCGTCCTCCACAGTCCGTTCTGCTGACGAAGTGAGCCCGTCCATCCGCTTTCCACTTTTCTGTACTCGTTCTTCCGTTGTCCTTATCCTGCCCCTTCTCACAACTCACCTCTTCATCCGCAGCCGGTTCCGACCCACTACCAACCCCAACAATATACGCAATACCCACCGCCGGCGCCGGCGCTGCACCCGACTCTACGGTCGGATTCGCATTCCACGCCCAATGATACCCACGACCGCAACGCAACTCAAAATGCCAGCCCGCCTCAGGAGACGCGCGGTGGTCCAGAAGAGACTCGTGGCGGGAGAGAACGAGAGGGATAAATAGATGCAGCGGGGAATAGAGTATCGTGAGTTCCTGCAGTCGTTGTTCGATCATCTGATCCATGTATATTCCTGCGGAATTTCTATTTATTTTACTGCATGGAAGAATTTTGAACGTGCGAAAGGACAATATCCGCATATTTTTACTACACAAACCTCGCAACCTGGACGTCGACTTACAGACTTTGGGACGACAATTTGAATCCAGGTCAGTGCGCAATATGTACTTGCTCGCACGGTCTCTTCCCTCCTATACCTGATCTTACCCGCCAAAATAACCGCACTTCCGCCCGCGCTGACTGCTGTCAATTAAAAACATCTCCCAACCAATGGTGCGTGAAAGTAAAGCAAAGGAAAAAGGAAGGGGAAGCGTGTTTGCTTATGCCCTCAGTGGGACTCGAACCCACGTCTCTTCCACATAACATTCGGTGGTCAGGCAGGAAGTGATCACCTGTGCTCCACAAGGGCTTGGGCTGATACCGCCTGCGGGCAGGTACCTTCTCAAGCGCACAACTGGCCTGGGGTCGGAATCGCGCCTCATGACGAAGTTAAAACACCCACTTGATGGTCCGATCAGTCCAGTTCGAATGATTGCAGTGCAGGTCATTCATCTCTCAAAGATCTCAACCAGTAGTTTGTAAAACGAAAAAGGGAGAGGCAAAGTAATGCCCTCAGTGGGAATCGAACCCACGTCTCTTCCGAATGATTTTGACGAGAGGAGGAAGGGATCAACCGTGATCTATGAAGGCCTGTAGCTTGTACCGGTGCTGCGCGCATATATACGCAATTTTCTTCACAAGGGCACTCCTGCCGCGAGGCCCTGACCCACCTCAACATGAAAATTTTTGAGGGCTTGCATTGACCCTGCGTGGGTGCGCATTGTGTGCGTGCCTCTCCTGATTCTATGTCCTGAGCGATATACCTTCTTGTCATGAATAGAGTGGGAACTCCTCGGCGGATACTGGTTGCTCACACCGTTTCTGTTCGATTCCCGAAAGAGACAACCCCTCCCCGCCAAAAAAAACGCTATCACCTCGATATTCGAAGCCCTCGGTTACAACACACGAGGCATGAGTGAGTTCTGTTGTGGCGTCTGTTTAGAAGAGACTAGCCCTCGGTGGTAAGCGAACCCACCTCTCTTCCAAATTCTGTGTCCAGGCTGCCAAATAATGACAAGAAACGATTTACTATTATGATCCACAAGGGCTTATACTGGCTTTCCGCGATACCTTCGGTTTCTCGGTATCAGCACCGACAGGCGGTATGACAGAATTTGTCTTCGCTCCTCTGAATTCTCAAATTTTCGCACTTACTTTATTTACAGCCACTATTTCGTCATAGCCATACCTTCCGATTCTTTAGTATTTCATCCAGGTTCATCCCGAGCTCGCAAAAGGCTCTAAATGAAGATTTTCTTGCCGGGACGCTTTCGGCATATTAAATTCCTGCTGCTTGTCATTTGACTTACCTCTCGTTGACGTTCGTTCGGGCGGTGCGCCACCTTGTGGTTCACGTGTCGTAGGTCTCGCACTAGGGGGGTGGGCACAGAGCTATTGGTAGGCAATCCCCTTCACCTGGGTTGCTCATAGACCAAGTCATTGTTCTGTGAAGCATTCCGTGAGCTGGTGGGGTGGTTAATCGCTCGGACATGTGGCTTTTGCCTTCACATGCGCCTTACATGCCTCTTGTACATAATGGCAGCCTAGATGGTCCGAGAGAACGGACGCATTGGGTGATATTCCGTTAAACAATTATGTACCATGTCTAGATACGAAAGGGGAACACACCTCGTCTTTTGTCTCTGACCACCACGAGGACTTGTGCATCGTACTCTCGTCTTCCCCTTGTGTTACATCGCTCTCACGGAGTGCGCGGTGCACTCAACGCGCGTCATCGTAGGGGGAGAACGGGTTCAATTCCCTCCATGGCTTGACTTGCTTGGAACACAGTTTTTTTAAAAATAAAAAGCCTTTTCACTTCCTTTATCTTAGGGGAGTGAGTTTACGGAGTTGGACTAAAATATCCGTTCACTATGTATTTTGTGGATCACCGCAAATGGAATTACGATTGCTGTCTCATTCGAAAGCCGATCAAATGTTCGAGGGTTCCTTCTTTTGCGAAGCGAAATGATGACGACAATTTGTGATCGATGATCAACCTGATTCTCTTGTGGAGACGGTGATACACAATCCGAGAAATATATCCTACACTATGGACAGTCAGTAAGATATTAGGGTAAGCATGTCTAGTACATCGTAGCCTTCGCGAGCCACATTATCCGTTTCACAAAAAGACAATGGCACTGGAATACAATCGTCGTAGTGGCTGCAGAGGGAGTGGAGTAGCTTCTGTCGCCTGCAATTCACGAAACATTGAGCTCCCAGATATGGGCACCCTTCACTGGGCCGGATACACCCTGGAAGAGAGTTTTTCCCGTCAGAAAATCGACCCGTTTCACGCCCTTGAGCGCCTCTATTCGCCTCTCCTTGTCGTCTACCAATAGTCTGCAGCGCGTAAAGTACGCGTCATCAACCCGCTGTCGTGCCTCGCCCCGAGGCAGCGCGTCGTATTCGGCACGCCGAACGGTTAGCCGCAGACTAGTGTAGACAGACATGAAGACGTCAAAGACTGACACGAAGCCCGTTGGCTGTACCGGGGCTACTGCTATTGGCCATGGGATGTGGCGGCAGAGGACAGTGAGCGTGGGCAGCGGAGGGTAGGTCGCGGGATCGAGGAAGGATGGTGTTAACTGGGAGTTGATGGCGTGGAGAGGATGGGAGAGGTCGCAATGGACGCTTGGGGGCACGAAGGGTGTGAACGCGAGTAGAGTATGTATTTGTGGGTGACATGGGATGGAGTGATGCTCCTGCCGAGGTGATATTCCAACCGGGATGGGAGAGGGCCACGGGCAGTGCATGATGGGTTTTTGGATAGCTGGTAGATCGTTCGGCGCAGGAATAAAGTGGTCTGCAACCAATTCCGGAAGCGAAGGGTGCGTAGCTATGGATGGAGAGGGCGGCAGAGAAGAGGTACAGGCACCTGGAGAAGGTGACCACGGAAGAGGGGAGTAGAGGATGTTGGTACTGGAGAACCGGACACTCTTCGTCATCATGGAGAGACGGGCAGTTTAGTCGAGCAGCGCCGGAAGCGACGGATGTGTAGTTATGGATGGAGAGGGCGGCAGAGAAGAGGTACGGGCACCTGGAGAAGGCGACCACGCGATGGGGGAGTAGAGGATGTTCGCGCTGGAGATATGGACGCTCTTCGTCATCGTCATCGTGGAGAGACAGGAAGCTCAGCCGAGTAGCGCCGGTATAAACTGGAGTCCGTCAGGTTTGAAGTGACGGCAAGTACGAGAGACCAAAAATACAAGAAACGATGGATGTATTACCCTGATATCGTATTAGCCCCATTGATCAGTCAGTGCGTCTGTCAGTGCAGCCACGTGGCGTCAAGGATATAGACAGGTCACAGTAATATTCGTCTATATGAGGAAGAAATACCTACGTCTCCTTTGTCTCTTGGATTTTCTGCAAGGATTCCGTGGCTGGGCATGCGTTTTCGCCATGGACCTAGTCAATGAGGGCCACCGCTATATGTCGTTGTTGAATTGCGTCTGAAGTATGACGAAAACTGAGGGGAACGGATGTAGTTGAAGTTGATGATGATCCAAGATCTTGATAGCAGAGTGAAGAGGCCAAATGTCGGACTCGAAAAATCAGCGAATGTTTTTGAAAACGCTGGAGGAGCTATAGAACACGCAGCAGCACCAGGAAGTTTCGAAAAGCGGAGATTGAAGGGGGAGGCGTCAGTCTATCTCCGCGCCGCCCCACAAAGCACGGACACGTGATGAGATTCGTGTAACGCGTTAGGAAGGGATGACGGGTCGTCCATTGGCTGCTATGCTTTTTTTTCTACCTGTTGATTTTAGGCTTTAAACACCGGACGGAGGACGTCGGAAAGACTACTGGTTCATTGATCCGCATCATTCCAACTCTAAATATAGCAAGAAAATAAGGGGCACACTTCACAGCGCGTAACCAGGGCGCGTCCATCTACAAACACAGAGCGCGTCGTCACGATGATTTTCGAGCCACTGTCAATGGTGGAAGGTATGTAAGCATCGCCGTAAATAAGTCAGCGTACGGACGTACAAAGGCGCTGGATGGACGTTCATCGACTGCGACACCCCGGTACCATCGAACCAGCTTAGCAGGACTATTGCACTTACGGTGCAACTATTTTTGGGTTAGCTGACGAAACGCGAGATAGCGAAGCTTAGCTTACGGGTCGAGGATAAACGCCGCGCAGCCGCCATGCATCGTGCCATAAACATTGCACATACCTCGAGGTGGGAGAATAAAAAAGACCCGATCCCAAGGCAGGACCACAACGCTCACTTTTCGCAATCTCTATTCCAAGTACGCACTCGGCTTCTGCGGTCGCGGTGGACACGTTGTCCCATACGTCCAGCTCGGCGACCTTGAGGCGCCCCGCAATCTCGTTGCCGAATGGCAAACTCCCCTCCCAGTAGTGAAGAACGCCAAAACGTTGGCGCTAATCTGCTTGTCTTGGTCAGAAATATTGCCTCGAATTTCCTTGACGTCGGTGTTCTGGCCATCGGGCAAAGAGCGCTGGAAGGCATCCCAATGATCGGTCATGATAGCCAAGTATAGGAAAATTTTGTTTTGAGGCTCGGCAAAGACTCAGGCTCGCCTCCTGGCTAATAGCACTGGCCTTGCACTGGCCCACGATAAAAGCTGAGCGCTGATCAAGCGCGAAGGCCATGCGGCTTATTCAGATACTACCTAACCTCTGTTCTCGGAAGGTCTCGGTCGAAGTTCCTGAACTCTTCAAGCTGCGAGGTACGAGCATAATCCATGTAATGTCTTTCTGGCAGAAACTACTTTATTTGCTCCTTTTGGAGTCGTCTAGATTTTTTTTTACACGTGCTGGATTTTTCCCTAATTGCTGATTTACACAGGAGTGAAGGGTTCGAGTCCATGGATTGCGTCACAATTCTGTTAGAGCATCGTCGGTCCAATAACCGTTGGAAGCGATTAAAATCACAGGCCGACGCATAAGATGGATCCGGGGCACGAAAAAAACCCCGGTGGGAGGCACAAAAGAAAGAGGCAGATACGGGGCGGTGTAAGTACTGTACTATTTCGACCATATGTTCACGCCATGTCACCCGTCACCTCGAAAGTTCACTGGATAAGGTCTTCATTCCTCCTCAACATTCCCATAAAGGGAAGTCCGGCGTAGGGCTGCCACAGGCCCCCGGTCACTACCTATTTGGGCGGTCGGCGATAGAGTAAATCAGAGCCCCAAAATGACCCTTACCTCCGGCCAGATATAGAGTAAAACAACTCTGAAACGAGCCGTGCCGGTCGTGGATAGAGTACGTGGATAGAGTAAATCGCGCGCAGCGCGAGAATTATTTTTGAGACATCATAGCTTCCGAT